CGGCGGATCCTCAACCAACTAGTGAAAGTGTACTGCGTGCCCCTAATCTGGGATGGTGATGCAAAGAGACACAAGGTTTATACTGATTCAGACAATAGGTGCCCTACGTCCAGTCTGAGAGAGCGATCTTGTATTCCTTGCACCGAGGTGCTTGTAGTAGGGGTTTACAAGCAGGACGAGAGAGGGAGTTAGTCCCAGGTCTCTGCGTGGAGCGGCGTGGGTTGCTTGAGATGTTGATCTCTTGCAGTGAGGGAGCGTGCGTATTACAGAGTGTTGCTCGTTGCTTGCGCGTATGTGTCTATCTGAGCGATGTCTCCGTGAGTGTGTGTCTAGAAACGGCCCCGATCACTCCCTTTTATAGTTAAAGGGGAGGACAGGGGCGATACATGCGTTCGCTACGTGGCGTTTTGTGGGTGGAGGCGGTATGTTCGAGCCCTGTGCTTGTCACTGTGGCGGCATGGTCGACGGAGCGGTCTTGTCCTCGGTGCACTGGAGCGACGCGCCGGTCACGCCCGATCCTGTGCGACGTGGGGGCTCCTGTGATGGCTTGATGCAGGGCATGATGTAGATTGTGGACGACATGTCGGTCGCTGTATGTCGACAGCGTAGAGAGCCGAGGCCCGTCGGTGCAGAAGCTGAACCATTGTGGGGGGGCTCGGTGGGCGCGAGTCCCGAGGCTACAGGGGTGCGGAGGCATGTAGCCGAGGCTCGGAGGGAGCAGTTGGTCTTTTATGCTGATTCCGAGGCTACAGGGACCCGGACATGACTCTCCACGCCGCACTATCCTCGGAGCAGGTGGGGTTAGGTAGCGCAGTGCCGCATGGGTGTCAGCCGTGGGCACAGTGCCGAGCACAGCGGCCGGTAACCCCTGCCCCGTCCCGTCCCGGACGGCATGGCGTTGATGCGACTCCCATCTCATCGGTCACTCCGCTGTGTCGAGCCGTCGTTCGGCTGACGTCGCGGGAGTGGTTGGTTGCGTTAGTTGGACGTGACGTCCCGGTCGAGGCGGCGGTGACGGGGTAGCTACCGAGCCGACCTCGAGCGAGACGGAGAATCGGTACCTCGTCCGAGGCCTTTCGGGCGAGGCGGAGAATCGGTACCTCGTCCGAGGCCTTGCGGGGTGGGGCCTCGGGCGAGGCGGAGAGTTGGTACCTCGTCCGAGGCCTTGCGGCGTGGGCCTCGGGCGAATCGGAGAATCGGCCGAGGTCTCGTGGTTGTCTCTTGGCTTCGATATTTATAAGGTCTAAGCAATTTTTTCGGTGGTACCTTTTTATGTTTATGGTATCCGACACCTACATTTTAGTATGAATGGATGTGCTTGGCTGATCCGTTCATAGATCGTACGTGCCCATTAGCGAGGTATGTGTACCATGTACAACCATTGTCTCCGGAAGCGAACAAAAAACTAAGCTATTAACAGAAAATTAAAGTTGCTACAGTTTTCTTATCTCAAAGTAAGTTGAACGCTTGTGCTTAGTGTACATCTTACAAAACCATTTTTTAAAAGATAAGATACATTTTTCAACCTTCAAGTTTCACGTCAGACTGATTTTTAACTCTGAACTATGGAACTGAATAATGGACATCCTCAAACTATCAAAACCAAAAAAAAAATAGCACTCTTAACAAGTTTCAAGGTAGTTTTCTATTTTATAAAAATATAAAAATATAGTTTTATCTCTGAAAATTTATAATTAATTTATTTTAAATCTAAACATATTAAACTAGTTTCTTTTTTTGAAAATTTTTATATATCTGTTGGTGCTCTATTTAGAGTTATCTGGATCTTAATTATTGTAAATAAATAATGAGCACGACTATAAGTAATAAAATAATAGGAAAAGAAATAAATCAGTTTCAAATAACTATATGTAGATCATAATCAAGTAGATAATATTTCATATTTTAAAATTTAAATAATAAATTTTAAGAGATGGAACCAATTTTTAGTATTTTTATAAAATAGAAAACCACCTATGAAAACTAGCGAGAGGACCACCTCTGTTCATTTTCCTGAAATTTGGCTTATCCTGATTTGTTATGAGAGAAAAACACTATTCGTTTGCTGAAAAGTATTGCCGAAGTACTGCTAAAGAACAGAGCGCAAATTAATCCGGCTTCGATAGAGGGTGTCTGTTGCCCGGTTTCATAGTCCGGAGTTGAAAATCGGTTGAAAAATATATTTACTCTTTTGTAAAGTAAGCTAATGATTTTTTTGTCATAGATTGCACTATTCTTAACCGTTTTGATCCACCTAGCTAAGAGTTAGCTGCTAAAAATTAGTGGGTGGATACAAATGAATACCGCTAATAGGTCAGATAATGATGTGCACTTAGCTAATAATTATCTCACTAGCTATCCAAACTAAGCTAGCAGATTGCCAAAAAGACACTTTTGTCATCCTACCTACCTCTATTCACATGCTCTCCTAATAGCAAATGGAAATGGAAAAGAAAATGTGTTATGGACAAAACAACATATGCAGCCATTTTTTAGCTAGCGGATCTAAAAAAAAGCACCTAGCTATTAGCTAGAACTCCAAGAGATCATGGAAATTTAGCTCTCTAAACTAGCTTTGTAAAATAATATAGACTCTTAAAATAGATATGGTTCGCAACAGACTCGCTAAATTAGACTCTCTAATTTTTTTAAAGTGACCACGTCATCACTAATTCAATCAATTTTGGTCGGATCCGTCACTCTTTTTATCCTTCAAAACAACACGATAAGTAAGTCCTTGTTTAGTTTCTTCGTCAAAACTTTACACCCTATCATATCGAATATTTGATACATGCATAGAGTATTAAATATAGACTAAAAAATAACTAATTACACAAATTGCGTCTACTTTGCAAGACGGATCTTTTAAGACTAATTAGTTCATGATTTGACAATAAAGTGATACGGTAACGTATGTGCTAATGATGGATTAATTAGATTTAATAAATTGGTCTCATGGTTTATATTCTTGATCACCATCACCAGATGCGAAGACATGCATGATACGAGCAATAGAGCGGTCACCTGTGCCGCGCTTGATTGCTTTTATTGATTGGACACGTGAGTGATGAACGGTGCAGCAAAATTGTCCCTGTCAGCCGAGTGGAGATAGAGGGAGGGGAAAAGGAGGCCACGAGGGCCTGAGAAATGTCCGGACAAGATGTATGGCTAGCGAAGCCCGCTGGCTTAATTTGCCACCGGAAAAAACGGGATAGTTAGTAATGTATTTTACAAATGCTGATAGCGAGTCTCTTAGATCCTTTTTTTTTTCTTCATTTTGCTAATGACGAGTGAGATACAATGTCTCTTGGAGTTGCTCTTAGCAAGCAAATATTGGCATGTTCGCTTGAACTTATCAGCCGGCTTATCAACTAGAATTTACAGTATTTTTTTCTCACATCAAAACAGCTTCATACGGCTTTAATACCAGCCGAGCTTTGAAATATTAGCCAACTAATTATTACTATGGCGGTATCATGGTATAAAGAGTTGTTTAAGGCTGCACCATGGTGCTCAAGATTAGTGGTGGAGTTTGAAAGGGGATAGCGGTGCTAAACTCAGGGGAATGTTAATATTTGAACCTAATAGTGTTTCTTCCAAAGAAATCTCAAGAACCACATCCAGGTATGCGCACTAACCTCCTCGACTGATCAAAATGTTGCTTCTTTTAACAGAGAATGATATGTGTACCCCTCTTTTTCCTAAACCATCGTTTTAGGTTTAGAACTATAGTTTCCTAATACCATAGGTTATGAAAGCTACATCATCTAAACATGATCTTAATTAGTTGTTTTTTGGGAAGGAAAAAAACTCTAAAATGTGTTCCTATTTATAATGTGTCACGTGATTATTGGAGGCTTAAAATACCTTCGATCAATCAATAATAATATCAGAATGGGAAAGCAAGATTTAGGGGGTTTTTAGATGCCCCTCCTAAATCTTAGTCGTTGTCCCATCGAATGTTTAGACACATGTATGGAGTATTAAATATAGACTAATTACAAAACTAATTGCATAGTTTATGACTAATTTGCGAGACGAATCTTTTAAGCCTAATCAGTCTATGATTTGACAATGTTTTTGCTACAGTAAACATGTGCTAATGACGAATTAATTAGGCTTAAAAATTGTCTCGTGGGATACTGACGAATTATGTAATTTGTTTTTTATTGGTATCCGAATACCCCATACAACATCCTCCCGACATACCTCATAAATTTTAGTCACTGGATCCAAACACCCCTGGCTTGGCAACGACTAAATAAACCAAAAAAAATGGAAATGGCTCGATCCAAATTCCAAGCCGATGTTACGCGGGCCTAAACAGCCTGCGTGTGCGCGTGGACAATTTCGACCGGCACCAGTTGTGGCCTTCTGTGTGGGGAGCGAGAAGAAGAGGAGAGGAGCAAGAAAAGTTGCGTGTAAAAGCTGTCAGATCAAGACCTGATCGATCAACACCCTAACAACGCGGCACACTAGCAGCAGTCAACCACAATTTGCACACTCCATTATGGCATTACTATCCCTTCAGATTAGGCCCCCCAGATCTGCACATGGCACGAGCAAATTGTTGTGCAAATTCAAATAAGAAATTCAGGGGAAAACCCCCTCTAATTTCCAGCACAAAGCCGGCTTAATTTTTTCGGAGTGGAGGTTGGTCAGGGTGTAGATTAGTGCAGAAAGGAGACGACCCCTCTGCATGCGCTAGCTAATTTTCCTACGAAAAAGGGCAAGGTGATTGATGCCACACAGCCTAGGTAGCTACAAAAGCAACGAAAGCAGAGCAGGCAACTTGGAGGAGGCCAACTCCCTTTACCATTCTCTCCCATGTAAGCAAGGAATCCAGGGAGTAAGGAAAAGGGAAAAGCTCGTGCAACATCTTGGACCATTCGTCCATTCCCATCGATCGTCAGTCAGAGGTTAGTTTAGTTCCAGAAGGATACTGAACAGTGAGTTTAGAGGCAGCGAGCGAGACGCGGCAGGAGGAAGAAGAAGAGGCGATGGGCGGCGAGATGAAGCTCGGGAGTAGGGGTCTCAAGAGCTGGGCGCAGCGCCACCTCAACGTCGGCTTCGCCGTCGGCTTCCTCCTCGTGCTGCTCACCTACCTCGTCGTCTCCGGGCAGCTCGCCGTCACCGCACCCGACGGTAAGTGAATTCTGTATTCTCCTCCTCCGCTCCGGTCCCTGCGTGGAGCCGGGCAGCCGGCCTCTTGCGATCCTGCACCGCACGGCCACCGATCACGGCTTCATCCGTTTTCTGAAACATGGATGCTTGTTTTCCTCCATCCGTTTCTTGGTGAACCGAATGGTGATCGTCTGTTCTTGCCTCGTGCTTGTTTGTCCTGCAGCTGTCGCTACGAAAGCGCCGCGGGTGGCGGATAAGCAGGTGATCGTCAGAGCCGCCGGGGATGATGCAGGTGAGCGTTTCTGTCGTCTTGGAATTCTTGATCGATCGGCTATGTTGTTTTCGAATTGGGAATCATGAAATTCAGCATTAGTACATTACCGTCTTTCCGATATCAAATTCGAATATACCGGATATATATTTGAAGGAACAGAATTTTTACAAGACTCTGCATTTGCGATTCGTTCCAAACAATTTTCCCTGGGTGGAAGTGGATGAATAACACGGAATTGTTTGTTTGCCCAACGCAGATGGCGCGAGCAAAAGGCAGTCAAAAGAGGCGGCGGAGGAGGAGGATACGTCCGGTACCGTCCCAACGGAGGAGTCTCCGAAAACAGACGAGGCCGACGCCAAACCGTCCGGTACGTCCAAATATTTCATCCCCAAAATAGAACAAACAAAGCCATCTTTTTGGCGTCTCATGCTGCGCGTCACCATTATCTGCTTTCATAGTCTCGGCCATTTCTGAATTTTGTTTCTCTCAATAGTATATCTTGTCTTCGACGTAATCCCCGACATAAAGTTTCTGAATTCTGGCCATGAAAAAACATTCTGAATTCTGGGGATGTTTTCAACACTGTCAACGTCTGTCATGCGGGCCCTGCGCGAAGTGTTCATTTTCATTTGGTTTGTCGCGTGCAGCAGAGACGACGACGACGAGCAAGGCCGTGTGCAACACGGACGGCCCCGTCTCCGAGACCTGCGAGCTGGACGGCGACGTCCGCACCAACGGCAGCGCTCGATCGGTGACCTTCGTCCCGGCGAGCCCGTCGTCGGAGCGCCGGGAGTGGAAGGTGCGGCCGTACTCGCGCCGGACCATGTCGAGCGTCGACAGGGTCACCGTGACGCAGCTGGAGTCGTCCCCGCAGCAGGACCCGGCGGCGTCGCCCGCGGCGTGCGCGGTGACCCACAACGTGCCGGCCGTGCTGTTCGCGCTCGGCGGGCTGACGGGCAACTACTGGCACGACTTCAGCGACGTGCTGGTGCCGCTGTACGCCGCGTCGCGGCGGTACAAGGGCGAGGTCCTGTTCCTGGTCAGCAACCTCCAGCCGTGGTGGCTGGGCAAGTACGAGGCCGTCGTGCGCGCGCTGTCCAGGTACGACGCAGTGGACCTGGACCGGGACGCGCGGGTGCGCTGCTTCCGCCACCTCACCGTGGGCCTGCGCCTGCACAAGGAGCTCAGCATCGTGCCGGACCTGGCGCCGGACCGCCTGACCATGGCCGACTTCACGGCGTTCCTGCGCGAGACGTACGCGCTCCCGCGCGGCGCGCCGGTGATCCCCACGGCGGAGAGGAAGCCGCGGCTGCTGCTGATCCACCGCGCGCACTACCGCCGGTTCGTGAACGTGCCGGAGATCAGGCGTGCGGCGGAGTCGGCGGGGTTCGAGGTGTCTGTGGCGAGCCCGCGCGGGGACGCGCCCGTGGAGGAGACGGCGCAGATGGTGAACTCGCACGACGTGCTGCTGGGCGTGCACGGCGCCGGGCTGACGAACGCCGTGTTCCTCCCCGCCGGCGGCGTGGTGATCCAGGTGGTGCCGTACGGGCGGCTGGAGCGCATGGCGCGGACCGACTTCGGGGAGCCCGTGGCGGACATGGGCCTGCGCTACCTGGAGTACAGCGTGGCCGCGGAGGAGAGCACGCTGCTGGAGATGCTGGGGCCGGACCACCCGGTGATCAAGGACCCGGACTCCGTGCACCGCAGCGGATGGGACAAGGTCGCCGAGTACTACCTCGGGAAGCAGGACGTGCGCGTCGACGTCAACCGCTTCGCGCCCACGCTTGCGCAGGCCATGGACCACCTGCGGCAGTGAGCCGTGTCTGTCTGTCGTCGACGCCTTCATTTCGGACAAGAACATGCTGCACATGGATACGTACACCACGCATCTCACTGTCACACAAGGGACGCATATGCAAATTTGCGTTTTGCAAATAGGTTAGCTCCAAATTGTAAGTTCGATTGTTTGGTACAGAATCGAGCGATGTATTCTTTTGTTGTCTTTGTATAAATCATATAGATGTATTGTTGGTTTATCGAGTGAGTCGCTAGATTAGCTGCGAAATGAAGTTGTTTTGTTTGTTCTTTTTCTGTTTTGCCGTCAATTATTATGGCACGGTTGGTAAATCACATGTCAGCCCTGTTCGTTTCGCTGAAATTTGGCTTATGTTGATATTTATGCTGATTTGTCGTGAGAGTAAAACATTGTTCATTCTCTGAAAAGTACTGTTGAAACACGTTTGTATGTACATTGCACAAGGCCTCTGATTTCTGGCATGTTGAATCTTGAGAAGATGGACCTTGTAATACTGCTCACTGAATCACTGATCGTTCGCCAAACCAAGCCCTAGCCAGTCATTAGTTTGGCTGAGATGGATGTGTCTCATACATAGCCAGGTCAAAATTCGGCAGCAGAATTGAGAGGATGACGGCTGAAGACTGGCTTGTCTAGTAGACACGTCACACGTGGCGATGAAAGATTGGGTTCCACCGCCGACAGGAGCAGCTAACTTATTATCGCCTTATCGGCACTGTGACCAGTTAAATTTGGCTGGAAAAAGCATGCTAGTGACTTGGTGAGGTCACAGGCTGACAAGCAGGAACCTGGAACTTTGGAAGCAGCTTTGAAGTGGAGGAGCACTGAATGCTGAAACAATCAGTCTTGGCCATTTTGGGAAAGAAATGGTACCTCCGCGGCTGCCGTGGCGACAGGAAACATTCTACATTCCCATGTCAAAAACATGCCACTACAACATAGGGATATTTGGTTTTCACTTCAGAGCTTCATGCCAACGAAATGAATATATTCCCTTCTGTTTGCCAGTACTGACATCAGAACAAGCAGTGGTTACAGACTTACCGTCATCGTTAAAGATGTATATACAAAAAAAACCCTGCAAAATACAATCAGCAGGCGTGAAAGGCTGCTGGTTGTTGACACAGAACAATCAATTAACAAGACCAGTTCCTGAGCTGGAGGCGCTTGTACAAGGTGTTACATTTATGCATATCATTTACAACTCTGCAACTGATACAGATGCTGAGATTCTACTGATATTTACATTACAAAATGTATTCCGTTGCCGCCGCAGAAGATTGTTTACAAAGCCTGCAGCTGGCTGACATTTTTCTTTCTCCTTTAGTTTCTGTAAGCACAGAGATGCGAGAAGTAGAAGAACAAGAGGAGATCGAGGGAAGTAGATCGGACAAGTAGCTTAGAATTTAACAGAGGAGTGATTGTGGAGTAGAATTACAAGTTGTTTTTGATAATTAATAAACTCCCTCATCCTCCCCTTCGGCTACTTATCCTACTCTCTCACGCTACTGCTGGCAGCGGCTTCACACCCATTCCGGGCCTTGGAGAATTTTTTTATTTTTAACACTTTTTTTAAATTATTTTTAAAACTAACATTATTTTTTCATTTCAAAACTAACATTTTTGGACGTGTCAACTGACATGACGCGGCCAAACCACTCTACCGCGTCATGCATGGCGCATGCCAGCCAGCTTGCCGCCGTGGTGGCGACCGACGGTGGCGTGGACGGCTCTACTGTAGCGCCACAGATCACGGCGCGCACGAGCCTACCGCGCCACACGAACGCCGCGTCGCCGCTTGGCGCCGCCGCCGCCCTCGCGCCGCCGCCGCATACATGCATCGCGCGCGCCGCGCGCACGCCGCCGCCGCCGACGCCGCCCGCTCGCGCCGCACCGCACGCCGCGCCACGCCACACGACGCCGCCGCCGCCACCGCCTCACTATCAAGCGCCGCCGCCCTCACTGCGCTATCCTCACTGCCGCATCCGAATCTAATGAAGGTAGACAAGGGTAGGAGGAAGAAGAAGTGACTCAAGGGGGACATGGACGCTATGAGAGGGTACGGCAAAGACATGTACAGAGGGGGAGACTTCAACGAGATCCGTGGCAGGAATCTTTGTTCCGTTTGCAAAGAACCTGGCCACAAGGCTAGCAGGCATAGAAGACAAGGACAGCAGGTGCATATAGCATACATTTTATTATATTAATGTTAGTTATTTGCTATGCTATTTAAAACTACTATATTAGTACATTGGAACCTTGGAGCTATGTTTATTATGATATATGTTTATTCTCTAATTTTCATAATAGTTTATTCCTTTTACATTTACTTTGGTTTTATGCACTAATGCTCCATCGTATTATAGTACTCTTAATATTTGTTCTAACATATCCATTTAAAATTTGAACCAGGATGGGGGATCATCATCCACAGTACCCTATTCTTGAGGTGCACTATGACAAGGACCACCGAGCCAAGCGCCTGTCGGAGCTTCAGGAGGACTTGGTATCTCTTAGACTATGCACGCACCAGCCGCACCGCTAGGACGAGCGATACCGGCCGTACATACAGCATGCCGGCTTCCTTGAGATCATCCGGGTCTTCAACACTGGGCTACCGATCCTCGATCCTACACTTTCTCACTGCTACTGTCGATAGGTATGATTTGATACACGTTTGTGACAGTACAAAGCATTGATTTGTCTCATTGTTTGAATTAAAAAAAAACTTCTTGTATTGAATTAAAAACCAACAAGTGGAGACCAGAGACCCACACCTTTCACCTTCCGTGCGACGAGATGACTATCACGATGCAGGACGTGAAGATGATTCTGTGTCTACGGTTGGAGGGTCTTTCAGTGAATGAGATCCTTGATAACGATCACTGGATAGACTTGGTGGAGCAGTTCTGTGGCATAAGACCACTCGAGGACGAGGATGCTAAGAGAGCAAAGTAAGAATTTCTACCGTTCAAAACATTTATCATTTTGACACAAGCACATATTCTGCAAATTATTTTACTATTTAGATGGAGGGTATAATACATAACTTTTATGATGTGTATTGTCTTTGTCTAATTTAATGTTTGTTTTTGTTCCCTCAGCTCTCATGTAACATCCGGTGTCAGCACTAATTTAATGTCTGCAAAATATTTCAGGAAAACATTCGATATCAATTCGAGCTGGATAACAGAAAACTTCGGGGCGCCACTGCACCCAAACGCTCCAGAGCAGGAGATCGAGAGGTATGCTAGGGTGTGGCTGTAGCACTTCTTAGGCGCCTTCCTGTTCCCCGACGCGTCGAATAACACCATCAGCTAGACCTTCCTCAACATACTGAGCCAGCTATGGAAGAATATAGGAGCGTACAGCTAGGACAACGTGGACCTAGCATAGATCTATCGTCAGCTCTGCGTTGCCTGCCGATGCTATACAAGAGATGCCAACCTAGGAGGTTGTTCCCACCTACTACAGATTTAGTGTTGGGAGCAATGGCTAGTCAGAAGGCCCGTTGTTCACGGTTTACCTGTAAGTGCATCGATTTTTTTATTTTCCTCAAACTTGATGTCGCACTTGTGACTGACTATCCTATTCAATGCAGGCATGGAATCACGTGGACGTAGGACCGACTGCGCTACATCTGGCAAGAAGCGAAGATAGTTAGAGGAAACCCGAAGCGGCGGTACAAGCAGTACTCGAACAACACAACACCAGGTAACGAAGGGCGCGGGCGTCTGGCGGCGACGGACACGTGAAAGGAAAAGAAAGGAATGGAGAGACAGAGCCGCGTCGCGGGCCTTTACTGGGGCCTGTCGCGCCGTGCGCGATGGCGCGTCGATGCCGCGCCATGATCTGTGGCGCGGCAGAGCTAGGCCACGTCACCGATCGCTGCCACGGTGGCAGCCTGGCCGTGCCACCATGCATGGCACGATAGAGTGGTTTGGCGCGCCATGTCAGTTGGCGCGTCCAACTTTTAGTTTAAAAAAAACAGTGTCAGTTTTAAAAATAGTTTAAAAATGTTAAAAAAAAAAAAAAATCGCCTTGGACGTGTGGGTTGGGCCTCCTTGGACGAGCGCCACGCCAGGCCCGTCTTGCTCATCACCTGGGCCTGGGGAAGCGTTGCCGAAGAGCTTCAACGTCTTCCCAAGTTGCCAGCGACGGTGGAAGTCCGGACCACTGGATCAGAGCTTGAAGACGCACAGTGGAGCCGTTGGTGGCGACTCGCTTCTGTAAGATGTGTTGAGGAGCAAACCATCAATAGTAGGGGGTAATGGTAAGGCAGTGTGGGTCACTGGAATTGCACCCTTGAGCTGGGACACATGAAACACTGGGTGAACTGACGATGACTACGGTAACTTGAGTTTGTAGGCCACAGTACCGATCTTCTCAGTAATCTGGTATGGACCAAAGAACTGATAAGCCAACTTCTGACTTGCACGCGGAGCCACCGAAGTCTGATTGTAGGGCTGTAGCTTCAGATAAACCCAGCTGCCAACACTGAAAGAACGTTCGGTTCTATTCTTGTCCGCTTGCATTTTCATCCTGTTCTTAGCTCTGGCAAGGTGTTGCTGGATCAGAGCCTGAATGGTTGAACGGTGCTGGAGCCATTCCACAAGAGAGGCAACAGAACAGGCTGATGATGCATCAATACCCAGCTGTCTTGGTGACTGCCCATATAGCACATAGAAAGGGGACTGGTTAAGTGATGAATGCCAAGATGTATTATACCAGAATTCCGCCAAGTGGAGCCAGTCAAACCATTTAGTTGGAACTGCATTGGCGAAACAGTGAAGGAACGTTTCCATGCACTGGTTAACGCGCTCCGTTTGTCCATCTGATTGAGGGTGGTATGCCGAACTCATCCGTAGATCAACCCCAGCCAACCGAAATAGCTCACGCCACAGGTTACTTGTGAATATCTTGTCACGGTCAGACACCAGAGCATTTGGAAGACCATGTAGGCGATATATATGAAGCTTGAATAACTTGGCAACCGATAAGGCAGTAAAGGGGTGCCGAAGTACAATGAAATGAGCATATTTCGAGAAAAGGTCAACCACGACCAAGATGCAATCATACCCGTGGGAGCGAGGAAGACCTTCCACACCACAAAATCGAGAGAGATCACTTGCCAGGCTGTAGACTGGGTGGCGAGAGGCTGCAGAAGGCCTGGGTACTTAACCGGTTCAGGTTTGGCCTGTTGACATGCTGCACAGCTCTTGATGTACTCGTGAACATGCTTCCGAAGGCCTGGCCATGCAAACAGAGCTTGAATGCTTTTCAGTGTTGCTGGTATTCCGGAATGGCCCCCAAGAGGTTAACTGTGCAAAGTCTGGATCAGCTGCTGTTGAAGGAAATTATTGTTACCCACCTAGACACGATTCTTGTATTTCAGTATACCATCCTCCAATGAAAAATTGGGCACTGCAGATGCACTAGTGGCTAGCTTGGTAAGCAACATGGCGGCCTGAGCATCATCTTGATAGCCACGAACGATGTCAGTGTACCACTGCGGTGTCACCACTGAGATTGCTGTGCACTCATCTGGATAATGGTGATGACGAGAAAGAGAGTCAGCAGCACTGTTTTCCGTACCTTTCTTGTAAACGATGCGATAGCGAAGACCCAGGAGCTTAGTAAAAACTCGCTGTTGCCAGACGGTATGCAGATGCTGGTCATTCAAATGTGTCAGGGCTTTCTGATCCGTATAGATGATGAACTCAGCGAGTTGGAGATAGCAGCGCCACTGCTCCACCGCAATGATAATTGCGAGGTATTCTTTGTCATTAAGTTGAGAGCCCTTGCGTCTTGATACCCAGTGGTTTGCTTACATAGGCCAAAGGATGCCCATCCTGTAGCAACACGGCTCCCACTCCATTCTGGCAAGCGTCTGTTTCAAGAGCAAAAGGCTTGGAAAAATTGGGAATGCCCAAGACCGGGGCTGAGCACAGTGGATGCTTCAGGGACTGAAAGGCTTGTTGATGTTCCTCAGTCCAGACAAAAAGCACGTGCTTCTTGAGTAAATTTGTAAGAGGCCGAGCTATGATTGCGAAGTGCCGAACAAATTTCCTGCAAAAAACCCAGCCAGGCCCAAGAACCCACGAAGTTCTCGCACATTAGATGGAGGAGGCCAATTCATGACGGCGTCAACTTTGGCTGGATCGGTCTGGACACCATTGGCGCTAAGGATGTGGCCCAAGTAGTGGATTTGTTGCTTGGCAAACTGGCATTTCTTGAGCTTGACTACCCATTGATCCTGAGCCAAAAGTTGGAGGACCTGAGTTAAGTGCTGCAAACGCTCAGTATAGGAGTTTCTGTACACCAAAATATCGTCGAAAAACACTACAACACAGATCCGCAGAAGAGAGGCCAGAGTTGTGTTCATGGCTCCTTGGAACGTGCTTGGTGCTCCAGAAAGGCTGAAAGGGACCACAGTAAACTCGTAGTGTCCGGCATGGGTTGAGAATGCAGTCTTATACTCTTCCCCTGGCTGCAATCTGATCTGATGGTAGCCTGAATGCAGGTCAATGATCGAAAACCAAGAAGCTGAGCCCAGTTTGTCCACCAACTGATCAAAGATTGGTATGGGGTACACTGACTTGACCGTAAGAGCATTGAGGTATCTGTAATCGATGCAGAAACGCCAGGTCACATCCTTCTTACGCACCAAGAGCACTGGGGATGAAAATGGAGAAGTGCTCGGCTGAATAAGGCCCTTGTCCAACATTTCCTTCACTTGATGGTCAATTTCGTCCTTGAGGCTCGGTGGATACCGGTAGGCTCGAATATTGACGGGAGAGGCTCCACTGACCAAAGGAATTGCATGATCACATGATCTCGGCGGTGGTAAGGAGTCAGGTATCTTGAACACAGAAGGAAACTGAGACAAAATTTCTGAAATCTCCAAGGGAATTGCAGGTATCTCGGAAGAATCAGCTGATGTGTCAATAGCAAACAACTGAAAGACTAGCTCATTCGGCAGAGGCGCTGTGAGACCCTGCAAAACGATCTGATCCCCATGATATGGAATAGAAAGCCACTTGGATTCCCAATGGATTTGCATTGGGCTGTACCGGGACAACCAGTCCATCCCCAGAATTAGATCATATGAATCAAGCTGTAAGATCCGAAGATCATGCTGAAACTGGTAATCCCCAAGAGCAAACTGACAGTCAACGATCACTGAGGAACAGCGGAGGATTTGACCATTTGCAATCTTGACTGAAGCTGTCAGAGCTGTGCGAGGCAGCTGAGGTAATCGATTGGCGACTGACTCTGCCAAGAATGAGGCCGAGCTTCCCGAATCAATGAGGACCACCACCGAAAGACCATGAACTGAGCCTTGGAACTGTATAGTTCTTGGACCTTGAGACCCCATGCGAGCATCATGTGAAATAGCCAAATTGAGTTGCTCAATGGGTTCTTCGGGTGACTCAGGCAACTCCTCCAATTGGAACAGATCCCAGACCTCTTGCATAGCTTTCAATTGGATTGTTGGAGCACATTTATGGCCCCGGAACCATTTTTCAGCACAGCGATGACATAATCCTTGGACACGCCGGAAAGAACGAAGAGTAGACAATTTGTCTTCCGGGGTGGCTGCTTGAGGAGTAGCCGGCTGCACCGGCACAGCGGCTTTTGCTTGAGCAGGTGGCCGTGGCAACAGCATTGCTGTCTTCAGATTACCCCGATAGCTTGATCCACTGTCATTTTTGTGGAATTCCAATTTGGGAGCTGGGGCAGCCACCTCTTCCTGCAACAAGGAAAGCGAATACGCAGTATCCAAGTTTTGAGGTCGCTGCATTGCGACAACAACTCTGATATCATGACGCAAACCATCAATAAACCGAGTAGTGTAATAGCGCATATCGGGGTTGGCAGTGTAGGCTTTGAGTTGATAAAAAAAGGGTGGAATAGCGCTCAACATAATCAGCGACAGTGGAAGTTTGGTGAATATGAAATAGTTGGCGAATGAGGGACTCATGTTGATCGCGAGCGAAACGATCAAGAAGGAGCTGACAGAATTCAGTCCAAGGAATTAAGTGACTGGGACGTTCTAAGGACTGAATCCATCGTTTAGCAGCTCCATTGAAATGCATACCAGCTACCTTAACCCACAATCTAGGAGGAACACCATACATATCGAAATAGTCCTCTGCCTGGGATATCCACAGTTTGGTGGTTTCACCGTCATAGGTAGGGAAATTGAATTTGGGAAGGCGATTTGGGTGGTGCTGGGTTTCGTCAGGGATAACAGTATGAGACTGAATTTCATGAACAACACCAGCAGAATTGGAAGGGTGAGGCACAGACTGCATACCATTGGCCGGGGAATGGATTGGGGAGGGAGGACCCCCAATGCCATCCGCCCGTGTAGTCGTTTCGACGCCGTGCCCGTTGGGCCGAGCCACCGTGATGTCGGCAGATGAGCGCGCGGCAGTTGGCGCTACAGGACCTTGGGAGATCAGTCCACTCGATCCGCTTGCTTGGTCGAGGACAGATCGATCCCAATAGATCGTGAGCTTGCTCATCTTGAGCTTGAGGTCGTCCACCTCACCTTCAGACTCCTGGCGCCAACTCTCCAGAGATCCCGTGGACTGCTCGATGGCGGCAAGGCGGCGATCCTGGCGCTGATCAAGCTCGGTGAGGAGGGTTGACTGCCGAAGCTCGGAGTCGGTGATGCGGCGCTCCCAGTTGAGGTCGTAGTCGAAGAGGCGTTTGGTGATGGCGTCGTCGAACTCGGTGAAGCGCTTGGTGATGGATTCATCGACTTCACGGAAACGCTTCTCCAGCCTGGTGTCGCTGTCGATGAAACGCGCGTCCATCTTGCGCTCAGACTCGGTGAAGCGGGCGTCGATCCGGTCCTTTTGCTCGGCGAAGAGGCGATTCATCTCGTCGAGCAGCAGCTTGCTCTCGGGAGACATGGCGCCGCGGCTTCGAGCGAAACGGGTAAAGTGGGGGTGCGGCGGCGGCGGAGGTGGCGGCGGTGGGGAGTGCTGCGCTAGAGCGCGGGTTTCGATCCGGACCGATTGCGGGCTTGGGAATTACGGAAGTCGAGGACCGATGAAATCGATCCGAGTTCACAACCCGAAGCAGTTGCAACAATCAACGGATCGAAACGAGGAATTGATGCGGGCGGAAGGAATCGCCAGATCTCTGATACCAGATGTAAGCACAGAGAAGCGAGAAGTAGAAGAACAAGAGGAGATCGAGGGAAGTAGATCGGAGAAGTAGCTTAGAATTTACTAACAGAGGAGTGATCGTGGAGTAGAATTACAAGTTGTTTATGATAATTGATAAACTCTCTCATCCTCCCCTTCGACTACTTATCCTACTCTCTCACGCTACTGCTGGCAGCGGCTTCAGACCCGTTCCGGGCCTTGGAGAATTTTTTTATTTTTAGCATTTTTTAATTATTTTTAAAACTGACACTATTTTTTTCTTCAAAACTAACGGCCGTGTTCGGCTGGCTGGCTGGCTGGCTGATTGTCGGCTGGCCAGCCATCTCACAAAATCACTATTTATGTCCTGCCAGAACAGTATTTTCTCTCACAACAATCAGCCGAAACAGTGTTTTCAGTCTTACCGAACAGGCCCAACACTTTTGGACGTGACAACTGACATGGCGCGGCTAAACCACTCTACCGCGTCGTGCATGGCTGCACGGCCAAGCTGCCACCGTGGCAGCGACCGGTGACATGGCCCAGCTCTGCCGTGCCACAAATCACGGCGCGCGCGGGCCTGCCGCGCCACAGAGCACGCCCGTCGCCCCCCGCACGCCACCGTCCCCCGCCGCGCCCGCCGGCATCCTCACTGCCGCGCCACGCCCGTCGCCGCGCCACGCGATGGTCGCCGCGTCTGCCGCCGCCCTCACTACCGCACCACGCACGCACGCCGCCCGCCACTGCCCTCACTGCCGTGCCGCCGCCCTCACTGCACTGTCCTCACTGCCGCATCCGGATCTAATGAAGGTAGGCAAGGGTAGGAGGAAGAAGAAGCGACTCAAGGGGGACATTGACGCTATGAGAGGGTACGGCGAAGACATGTACGGAGAGGGAGACTTTAACGAGACCTGTGGCAGAAATCTTTGCTCCGTTTGCAAAGAACTTGATCACAAAGCTAGCAGGCATCGAAGACAAGGACAACAGGTGCATATAGCATATATTTTATTATATTAATGTTAATTATTTGCTATGCTATTTAAAACTACTATGTTAGTACATTGAAACCTTAGAACTATGTTTATTATGATATATGTTTATTCTCTAATTTTGCATGATAGTACTCTTAATATTTGTTCTAACATACCCATTTAAAATTTGAACCAGGATAGGGGATCATCATCCGCAGTATCCCATTCTTGAGGTGCACTACGACAAGGACCACCGAGCCAAGCGCATGTCGGAGCTTCAGGAGGACTTGGTACCTCTTAGACTACGCACGCACCAGCCGCACCACTGGGATGAGCGATACTGGCCATACATACAGCGTGCCGGCTTCCTTAAGATCGTCCGGGTCTTCAACACTAGGCTACCGATCATCGACCCTGCACTTTCTCACTGCTACTGTCGATAGGTATGATTTGATATACGTTTGCGACAGTACAAAGCATTAATTTATCTCATTGATTGAATCAAAAAAAACTTCTTGTATTGAATTAAAAGCCAACAGGTGGTGGCCAGAGACCCACACCTTCCTCCTTCCGTGCGGCGAGATGGCTATCACGATGCAGGACGTGAAGATGATTCTGTGTCTGCGATTGGGGGTCTTCCAGTGAATGGGATCCTTGATAACGATTACTAGATGGACTTGGTGGAGCAGTTCTGTGGTAGAAGACCACCCGAGGACGATGATGCTAAGAGAGCAAAGTAAAATTTCTACGTTCCAAACATTTACCATTTTGACACCAGCACATATTCTGCAAATTATTTTGCTATTTAGATGGAGGGTATAATACATAACTTTTATGATGCGTATTGTCTTTGTCTAATTTAATGTTTGTTTTTGTTCTCTCAGCTCTCATATAATATCCGGTGTCAGCTCTAATTTAATATTTGCAAAATATTTTAGCAAAACATCCGATGTCAGTTCGAACTGGATAACAGAAAACTTCGGGGTGCCAACAAAAATTTTGTACTAAAGCATACCATATTATATGTTCACTGTATAGATCTACTCATGTTGAGTCCAATAAAATTGGATTTTTCATTTATGATTTTTCTGTGATTTACTATGATTTTTCAAAGATTCAGCCGAAATAAATAAAAATGAAAAAGACAAAACCGCCTTCAAAACTGCTTGTAATTGGGCCAAGAGGTAAGATGAACGGTTTTAAAAGTTGATGAAGGTGTTTTGTCCGATTTTAGAGTTTAGAGAGAGAAAAGTAGACTTCACAAAAGTTGGGGGAGGTAATGTGTACTTTTTCCACTATAAAAGGGCCAACAAGTCTTGGCCCATCTAGTGGTCTCCCCTCATCCGCCCAGTCAAGCACTGCAACTCCGGTGACCCAGTGCCTCCGCACTATGCCTCTCACCCTCAGCCATCCGGGCAGGATCCAACGGTAGAGTAGCGCTGCGGTTCCTCTCCTAGTTCCAGTCCTCCTCCAGAGGCGTGCGGGAATTAGTCCCACCTCGACGCTCCAAGGAGAGATGACAGGAGCAAGTTGCCTATATAATCTAGCCCTGGTGCTACCGTGCTCCATACTTACCTGAACGGGGTTGGATGGGCGATCAGGAAGGCCCATGGCCCGGATCAGTGGCCCACATTGCACTTGGTGGGTGCACTGGTCTACCATCTCTCCAAGTGGGAGAGTGGACAGTGGACGTCATAATTTATGGTGAGGCGTGTTTGCGCGGCCCCTGCCAATTCAATTAAATTAGATTTTGGTCCCTGGCATAGAGATCCTTGCCTCGAACCTTGTTTTTCTTCGGGATGTGTGTTTGCGCTTTGAAGCAAATTTGATTTTTTTTTTCGGGATAGCTCAGGCTTTGACTCGAACCTTGTTTTTCTTGGGCTATTGCTATAGGGGGCTGTTGATGGGCTTTTGAGTTGTGACGCCTAGCAGGAAAATTCTCGTATTCTCAAAAAAAAAGCTGGAAAATTCTCGTACGGCTTTTGTTGCCTTTTCGACCACGTTTATGGTTCAACGTTTCCGGCCGCGTTTAAACCTCGTCCAGCAAATCGCAAAATGTATAGACGCCTCCCCTCAGTAAAAATAAAAAGAAATGTAAATCTCACTTTCTATGTATATATAAGCCGTTGACGACTCGCTCCGCAAAAAAAGAGTAAAAGTCTATTAATTTAGGTTTGGCTGAATATATATTTAAAATTACTAATAATTATGATGCTAATAGATATCCTTAGTTTAATCACAGAATATGTTTTATAGTTAATTTAGAGATATAAATATTAATATTTTTTTCTACAATCCTAGTTAGATTTAAAATTGATTTCTCATTAAGAATGAGATTTATATTTTTTTATTATTAAAATAATGGGAGTATTTACCTTACCTACACCACACAGCTGCGCTTTGGTATCTCTATTATAATGGATCAATCAAAATTATACTAAAGTCTCTTAAAAAAAATCATTCCTCACTGAGAGTCTTCAACTATTATACACAAAAAAAAAAAATATACTCCGGCAAATCATCTTTACTGAAAACAAAGGCTAATAAAACACAGACCACGTCCAACGGCCGACCGAAGAAGTTTGATGCCAGGCTTCAAACGCACCCGCCCCCGCACACGCGCCCTCCGCCCACACACGCGACTCGCGACTCGCGAGCAGGGTTCGAAGTCTGGGAACATGAAGAAAAAAAAACGCCGGGATCAGGACGCGAGCAGGATCCGCTACCGCCTCTGGCCACGCGTTCTCGCGCAAACCCGCGCTGCCGCTGCGCACGCGAGCGCGGAGGCCCGCCGCAGCGGCCGCTCGCCCTGACGCTCTGCCAATCCGCAGTCGCACCAAGCCGCCGTCGCCGAGTCTTCCTCTGCCGTGTTGCTCCGTGCCGCCTGCCGCCGTCGCCGAGTTTACCTCGGCCACGCGCGAGATTCCCGCGGCATCAACTGCTCGGGCCGGAGGGGTCGCCTGCCATCGCGGACGCGGAGGGGCCGCCGAGGGAGCAGGCGGCGCCTTTCGTGGCGGTGCGGGAGGACGGGCAAGTGCGGGCGCTGGATCTGAGGCATAGGGACGGCCGGTGCGTCACCATGGACCTTGACTCCGCCGTGATATTCGGGAGCGCGTTCTTTACCGCCATGGCGCCGGACGCCTCTGCAGGCGGGGGTGGTGGTAGGAGGGTCGAGGTGGATGGGGTGGACAACTTGGAGGTGTTCGAGTACAGACTAAACAAATTGTTGTGCTCGAGGTCAGATGCATCCCTTTCGTTTCCTTTCCCTTCCGGTTTCTTCTGTCTATTTGTTTTGTTTGATTCATAATATCCATTTTTTATTGGCCTGGGTGGTCCACAACACACAAATCTTTTTTGTGCGGATGTGCTTGCAGGATCGAGATGAGGAATTTATTCTGATATATATGATACTATTTGAGAAACAGGTCAGTCCGATATTCATGTACTACAAAGGGAATTATTTGATCTGTGGTAACCGGTATGGGAGTAAAATTGTATTCTTATCCAATTCCTATTCCCTATGCGCAAAGGGATCAACTTATTTCCCCCTTCTTGCAGAATCAGAAAACTTATTTGATGTATGCTGCGATTGAAGGGCAGAGGAGCATATCGTCCTGAATAAAAGCCCAAAAAAAAACCTACTGATTCGCAAGATCTCTTTCGATGATCACTTTTTTTTTACCATAGTCCTAGGATTATCGTAAATCAGCCAGACACTCGATCTGCTCACATATGAGCACCTCCAAGTTAGTCTCTGTTTCGCTGATCTCCCCTTGTTTTTTTGATATGGTTTCGTGCATTAGCTTCTTGTATGTATGTTTGATCAACAGCATGAATCTTTAGCTTTCCAGATCTGACACCGAAAAGCAGCATGATCCATACTAGCCTTATTTGTGACTTAAATCAATTTTTTTAGTCTGTACTCTGTACCTAATCCCCCATCTGGTCGTAACATAGCTATTTTTGTGTGCGTTGCTCTTGGATTGAATATCAATTTCCCCAAATTGTTTCAGATTAGCTGGTCACTGCGGCATGACTGTCTGTGTGTTACAATAAGCAAATTGGTATGACCATGGTTTTCACATATTATTTTTTGCTGTATCTTATAATCCTGTCATTGTAGTATGGTAATTTTGTGGTCATATTTTACCAATAGTGTTTTAGAGTGCACACTAGCCTTCATCTTGGCAACAGCAGGTTGTGACAATCACCATCTATCACATATTCTTTTATTTAGCTGTTAAGTTCTATCTTTATCAAACTGAAATTTTTCTCAAGTATATTCAATGCTTAGCTGCTCATATAGTAAATTTGACATATCACTGATCTCCATGGGTGAAAACCAATATAGTTTCAATGAAGCTTGATTCCTGTACTGGATAATTAATATTTACTCAGTGACTCAGTGTTGTTTATAAATGTCGATCTTTCTCAGTTTCTTTTTCTCCCAAATATGCAGGAACTAAGCCTTTCTGATTGCGTAAAATTGCCACTGCCTGTGCTAACCTTGGCCACCCGGGCCTCCACCACGCCGCCACCACGATAGCCGGCCATCCCTGTCCTCGAGCGCATCGTCGTCACGCCGCCGCCTGCCCCTACTGCCAAGGGGGAGGGGGAGGGCGAGGTCGGGGCCGGGATGGCCTGCGGCGACGACCCAGCAGCAGCGTGCCGAGCCTGACCAGAGGGGCGAGGAGTGCTCCCTTGCTGCCGCTGTCGTCACGCCGCCGCCTGCACCTACTGCCGAGGGGGAGTGGGAGGGGCAGGGCGAGTCCGGGGCCGGGGCGGCCTGCGGCGACGACCAGCAGCAGCGTGTTGAGTCGGACCAGAGGGGCGAGGAGTGGTCCCTCGCTGCCTTATCTGGCTGGATGCAGCTCGGCGACACGCATGCCATGCTCGGCCGCATGGACGAGTCCATCGCCTGTCATGGCAAGGGCCTCGAGATCCAGATGGCTTGCCCGGCTTGGCTGGCTGCAGCTTATCTGCAGCTGCAGCTGCAGGAACTCCTCTCACGAGTACTGTAGTTACAGCCCAAACAGCTGCAATGTTTTCAGCTTGCTAACGCATCAGTTGCTTCCGAGTTCTGACCAGACAGGATGAGCAGGGTAATTATTTCCACAAATTCCACTACACATGGTTTCTGTATAGGAACTAAATCACGTAAATTGCATATCTTGTCTTGCGTTTGTTTGTGGGTGCTGAGGTGGCGCGGCCCGGGCGGGACGACGCTCGGCGCGGCCGGCCGGAGCTGCCGGCGGGCGATGGGCAGGGAAGCTGTGGCGCCGCATATCGCCGGGGCCCGGGGCTTGGCCGGGGTGATGTGGCATGGGCTATAGCGGCATAGGGTGTCCGTCATTATTTAGTCTTTCAAGAAACTTATGACCAGTTTTATTACATTGTATATTTCTCGTCATATATTTTATTGTATTGTAATTAGTGGAGTTGCAATGTAATCGTTGAAAAGAAAGAATTAGAATGAAAAAAGGTGGCTACAAAGTTTTAGAGGTTATTGGTTTCGTCAGCTCATATTTTGGTTGTTTTAATTTGTATGTCTAAATATTGCCGTAGCGTTAGCATGGACATACTACTGTCAGGGTACGACAATAGAATTGATTCTAGAATTTACAAATGTGTACAGGTTGTCATACAGGGGAGGGTACAAAAGCTATATAAAAGTTGATGACAGGGACACGACTAATTTGGTGCAGGATTTGGCCATTCTCCTGCGGTGTCAACTGTCCAGGTTGGCAGGATCACCGTCGCCTAACTGAGCCAGCTTCAACCACGGAGCAACCGGTTCGGCAAGGTGATTGCAGCGCCAAGGTCTTCACCAGGCGATTTCGCAGACGTCTCCACGACATAGGGCGCACACTATTCAACATTGTAGTGACGACAGGAACGTTTTGAGGATGGGATCCCCAACGCTTACTGTGCGTTGCTAGCTAGTATTCAAATGCATAACTGAACTAAACAAACCAGGATGGATACCTGTGTATTTCTTTTAGCCATTTTAGGCCTTGTTTGAATGCGCATGTATTCGTCGTAATCCACATGTTTGAAGTGGATTGGAGTAGAATTGAACTAAATTTCATTCCATTCCACTCCAATACACGTGGATTGAGGTAGATACACATGCATCCAAACAAGGTCTTATCTGGTCTCCGTTCCTCATATTCAGTTAGGTAGATATAGCACCTTCATGAGGAAAAAAACAATGATTTGTTAAAGATTTCGGTACCAGAACCTCCAAAGGAATGACAAGGGAAGGTAAAGGGAAAAACAAAATAAAAAAGAGGCTACCCAGCAGGCATCTATCTCACTGCAAGGTGATTGCAGCTGTTGTGATACAAAAAATGAAAAAAAAAACAACAACAACGACGAAATATAAAAACTTTGCAAGCAGGTGGAACCTATTATTGGGGGGGGGGTGTTGAGGGATTGTCCATACATGATATGATAACTAGCTTTTTATTACAAGATTACTCACAGTTCTGTGCTCAGCTTGTACTACTTGATGGAGATAGATGGACCACGATAAGGTCATTACATGTGCAGTTTGTAGGGAACCAACCTTATAATGTGTACCATCATTATAAGGTCCGGTAACAGTTAGATAAACAAGACTCGCAATATGTTGATATCTTGAGGGATCCTCAAGAGGTTTACCATCATTGACGGAGCTGCAAGTAAAGATTCATAGGTGTGGAAGTTGTTCGATTGTTAGTGATGCTTGAATGAGCAATAAGATCTTCTATGTACTTGGACTGAGAATGAAAGTAGTATCCCTATGCAGATTGCTTAACCTCAATGTCCAAGAAATAGCTAAGACCCAAATCAAACATCTAAAATTGCTTCACATGAGAAATGTGGTCCATATCATCCCTCATAATCAACATATGAAAGAACAAAAGTATGGCTACGTGACGAGAGATGAATAAATAAAGCAGGGTCATGATCGCTAGGTGAAAAACCAACAACCCGGGTCATAGATACAAAATGCTCGCGTACCAAGCATGAGGAGCTTGGTTAAGACCATATAAAGCACGATGAAGGCAACAAACATAACCAGTAGGAGCATCAACACACGGGGGTGGGTACATATAAACTTCTTCATTCAAATCACCATGAAGAAATACATTTTCAACATCCATATGAGATAAGGTCCAAGAAGAAGAAGAAGAAGCAACCACTGCAGTAAGGTGGGAACAATATTCATATAAGCAACAGGTGCAAATGTCTCAACATAATCATGGTCCTGAGTTTGTTGAAAACCTCTAGCAAGTAGATGAGCCTTATATCTTTCAATAGAATCATCTAACCTTTTCTTAATCTTGAGACCCACTTAGATGTAATAGGCATTGCATGCAGCGGTAATGGAACAAGATCCCAAGTGCCTATAAGATCAAGTGTAGCAAGTTCCTCCGACAAAGCAGTTGCCATTCTAGAATGCTAGAGGCTTCATGGCAAGTGAATGGCTCATTCACAATAGAATTAACACGTGAAAAACCATATTTCTTAGCAGGCCTAAGAGTAGCACCATCTTGTAGATCATATCACTATCCATCCTATGACTCATCAGAGATATCACATAACTCGTCAATATTATCAGAATTATCAAACATCAGGAGTACCAGGGCTGGCCAAGGAAGTGGGAGTCAGAACTCGAGGACGAGTGTAGACTTGAGTGATAGGTGGGTGAAACAGGGGAGACCGCGGAGCAGTAAAAGGTGGAGGATCAACCCTGTGAGGCTGTGAGGCTAAAGAGACTCGTGAGTTGTGGGTGGGTGCGAAGGTACAGATGGTGCAGGAGCGGCATTAGAACTGGCAAGAAGATGGGGATGACACATCAAAGATGAGGACTCTGTAGAATCATATAATAACTGTGTAGAAGGGTTATGAAAGAAACGGCGATCCTCAACAAAAGTGATGTCACGAGAAATATACATGTGACAAGAAGAAGAGGGGGTCATAGAAACGATAACCCTTATGCTCAAGACTGTATCCAACAAAACACACTCAACTGACTGAGCAGTCAATATAGTCTGCTCCAAGAAAAACAAGCATATAGTTCCACGGACTGATTATTGTTTAAAATTATTAGAAAATTAACTTTTCAAATTTTTATAAACCCTTCAAAAATAAATTAAGGCGGGGTTATTACTGACCGAAACGGGGGACTAAACCTTTGGCGTCACGGGCGGTGTTTGACGCACTTTGCAGTTGGAGTTGGTGACCATACCCTATGTGGCTATGCATGTACTAGCTGCCGTGTGCGTAGACCTGCGCCCCTGCAACTGCAATGCTACTAGCAGCTGAGATGGAACAGCACAAAGCGAGAGAGAGAGCATATGCAGGCGGCAGCTAGAACTTCCAACCGATCTTGTTGCTATCCAACTGTTACCGACGTCATTGCAATTCGTTGACCGGATATTTTTCTTCCAAATCACCAAATGACACCATGACGGTCGACGCGAGTACACGACAACTCAACAAATGGCATTACACCATGCTACCAAGGCAAGGCAGGGTTGGTGGTTACGAGTACACGGCTCCATGTGGACACGCAGCAAACTTATTATTGGCGCACGCCTGCCTTAATTTATTCCAAGCCGCCGCCTCCGCCTATCGGAGTCGTCTTCCTTTTTGCCTGCTTGAGTGAGGGCTGCTCAATCATGTTCCAACGCCCAACTGCATGCATATGGTCGTGCTGCTACGCACATGACTGGACGTCCGGACATGATTGTTAGGTGCTGTTTGGTGCATCAGAAGCCATGGGAACGGCAATGGAACTCATTGCCTGCTACCTGTTACTACATACTGTAGCAATCAATACCATCCTTTGGTTTTTGGTTCACAAGGAGACACGGGCGGGAGGTGACGCACTGTAATCGATTCCAAACCAGCTCGACCAAACAAGAAATAATGTTTTCCGATAGCAGCGTAAACCGATAACAGATTAAAAAGCCCCAACCAAACAACACCTTAGTTCCATCGGCTAGTACACATGCACATTGGATCTAACGGCTTTGTGTACTGTACTAAAACGTTTTTTTTTCACAATTTTCTTTAATATAAAATAAACTAAGAGCTAGTAAATCTATTTTCTTTAATATAAAATAAACTAAGAGCTAGTAAATCTATTAACAGTACTTCTATCTCTCTCTCTCTATATATATATGACACAATTTTATATGGTTTGGGTGGTGAATTTTGAGGCAGTGAATGAAGCTTTCGATTTTTCTAGATATTGTTTTTATTATGTATATAGGCATAACGTAAATCTAAGTGTATAGCAAAAAATTATGTATCTAAGAAAGTCAAACAACCTGTAACTTGAAATGGAAGGAGTAATTCATTATAACAAAGTTGAGTCGTGTTGTCGACAGTATCTTGTTCTTCTTCTTTTTTAACAGACACTAGCTAACTTATTATGTATAGTAATGAAACGCTTGTAAAGTGCGTGCGTCCAGCCCGATACACCTTGGTATGTCTTGTTCTTGCGTAGATTAACCAAGCTCAAGGAATAATCATTACACCCACGTCATGTTACGTCGATCGGTTCAACGCGCACGCACCCACGCACGTCGTTCCCTCGTCCCTGCACATGCATGTGCCAAGCATCGAGTTAATTAGTCCTAGTCTCCTACGGAGTAGACTCCTAGCTTCCTTTCCTTTAATTTTTCTTTTTAAAAACAGACATTATTTGGCTAGATATGATACTACTACTACGATGACATCAAATAAAAAAACGTTTTTTTTTTCTTGAAACACAATACATACGTCTAATGTTCATATTTAGACAAGGCACACACACGCACCGACACATATGAACGCAGCAGTACATCATATCTTTATGAACGTTTACAAAAGACCGGTGAAGTCTAGATAAGGAATACCACTATCAATGCAAAGAACAACTCTAAGAGACCCTCTATATTCTTCATAATCATTAGGAATAGAAATTTTAGTGAAAAAATACCATCCAACAACTTCTTTATTTGATTATCTAAGTATAGCCATCTTCTATTCCGCATTTTTTACTAGCCAAAAAAAGAGAATGGATTTTTAGAGTGCAAATAAGATATAGAAAAAACGGTTAGAAACTAAAAAGATATTAAAAATAATTTTATTCGAATGATTTTCTAAATAATGATTTAGAGAATGAGATTTAGAAAGACTCTTGTAAATGCTCTGTCTAGCTAGCATGGAAAGAATAATTGTTGTAAATACTAACAACCATATTGAGTTGGAGTCATGGTCTCTTGGAGACTCGAATACAGATGACTAGCTTCGTTACAAGGGACTTAATACCAATTGATTACACAAAATTCCCTTTTAGATAAGTGTTGTTACACTAAATACTCGCAAAAAACCGGAAGGATTATATATACTTCGCAGAAAAAACCGGAAGGATTATATAAACTTCACCAGAACAGAACATGGAGCAAATCTTTATTACAGCTTATAAGCAATGTCGTATAAATCCAGCCGAACATGCTGTGTCAGCTGTCGTCCCGTTCACGTCTCCTGGCCGACGACCGCCTTGGTAACTGCTAGCCATGGACAGACACGTACTACTCAGATTCTTATTCCGCTGACGGGCGATACATACCAAGCTAGCTGGCCAGCATCAGACTTAGGGTTATTCCTTTAATTTGTTCGGTAGAGCTTTTCCCCTGGGACTAATTTTATGAGGAAAGAGATTATGTGGTTCAAAGTAATTATCCAAAATAAGTTCACTATGAATTAAATCACCAGAAGACGGTTTTTTAATAGTCCACCGACAGTTTGGCATCCTACGGCATGTTCTTTTCGGCTGAAATGATCGTGGTACTGCTGGCTGGTTTGGTGTGAGAAAAAAATACTGTTCTGACTTATAATTCACGATCGTTTACGACCTAGCGAACATGCTGCTAGTTCCCTGCAAAGTACACTGTCTGTAGTACAAATAAATTATCGTTTGTCAGAGTTCCCTGGTGCAATCACCGTGGAAGCTCTGCAATCACCAACGGCACAACCTGACAGCCATTGCACAAGTGCCTCCGATCACGCGCTCAACCACTGGCCGGACCGATACTGAATACTGATGCTGCAGTACCTAATGTCCTGGTGCCATTGACATAAAAGTGCAGTTCCCTCCACGGCCAGTTCGGACTATTCACACCAAGTACGTACTAGTGAGAAATCCAGAATTCCTGATCAGTCAATCATCGTGTACCTTCTGCAATCGTCTTCGATTGAACACCACACCAAGCACCATATCTGCGATATGATCTTCAATTTATTCAGAGCAAACAGTTATCTTTGCTGATCGGTTAGAGGATGCAGTACCACTTCAATTTTTCTGTACAAACAGTACCAGTTTAATTGGTTGATCGGCAGCCGTACTACGTCAGACAGTGACTCGCTGAATGATTGAATGATCTACTTGCCGAATGACGATCAGTGCAAATCAGCGTAGCCCAAATTTTGTTTTATTACTCTTTTTTTTTAAAAAAAAGGGAGACATCGTGACATCGTTCCCGCTTTGGCAGGTAAGCTAACTGCTAACAGAAGAGGAGGCCTGCAGTACTCTGTACTTCCAAATTAATCACGATTCGGAAACACCACCAACAAGAGGAATCTCCAATTAGTACTACTGTACTAGGAGGCGACCAACTAAGAAACAAGTTCATGCATTAATTAAGAGCATGCAAAAGATATGATATGTGTATATGTATAAGTTGTAGCATCTGAACTTATCCACCCGCACGCACTCACACCACAACCACAAGTAAGCAGTTCTACAACTTATATCTAGATCTATTGTGGCCCATCCGTGAGGCATCCGAAAACTATCTAAAGGGAACTAAATCCCAGTGAGGAGGCAGACTGCACACCGCAAGCCGTTGCCATCCGAGCTTTAGCTCGGTCTCATCTCATGTATTGGAGAGGTTGCATATGCCTGCAGGAACTTTTTCTTTTCTGAAAGGGCCTGCACAAAACGTTGGCAGCGAAGAATCCAGTACAGTCCCCAACCGTCTCTCTCATCTCATGGCTGAAGCCTGAAGATGATGCCCTGTGGCACATGACAACAAAGAAATACGTATCTTTCAGTCCTCAAGGAAAATAGAGACCTCTCTTCAACCATGTGAAACAAACTGCAATAGGTCCTCGCTTTAGCTGGACCTGATGCATTGCCATCTCTGAAGATGATAAAGGTGTCCCTATCAGGAGGGAAGAAAATGAAAGTATTGATGAAGAATTAGCCAAACTGTATCTGGCACCCATCACTGACAAAATCCAAATACTCTCCTAGAGGTATATATATTTAAGCCCTTGCAAGGGCCTGCCATGGATGGACAAAAAAGGCTGACCTCAGCTGAACTTGAATAAACGAACAAATGGATGAAGCCAAAGAAACATTCAATGATGCACCGTGTAGGTTCTGAATTAGGCAGGCAGAGGCAGGGGTGGTGGGCTCTTGGTGACATACCCTGACAGTTCATGACTTCCCTGCGACTGAAACATCCTAATTCCAATCAAATATTCCACGCATTTGACCTCTTACTCTTATCATCAATGTACCACCACACACCCATGATGGATCAATCAGTTATGCCTCACATACTGGCCTATTTTTCCTGCCCTACACCGACTCCCTGCCCCAATCATACACACACAATCACAGCTCACACAAAAAAATTAAAATCCCTTGTGACAAACCGCCCTCAAACTAGTAAAAACGTAGCATATTCCAAATCCCCAGTATAATAAGCTCAATCCAGAAGCTTTATGCTAACTACTGAACTATAATACTTGTAATTATACGTCTAAGGGCCTTTTTGACCACATCAAGCTATAATAAATATCTGCTAAAAATTAGCTGATGTCTTGTTTGAATTCTTAGCTAATGTCTTACTTATTATCCAGCTAACAATTAACTATTAGTTATTTTTCTAGCTATCAGCTAATAGTTAGTTGGTGGATCCAAACGGAGCCTAATAAAAAATAAATAAATATGAGCATAGTTTATAAGCGTAGCCATCATGAGAGAGAGTTGGCGTTTGTTTGGCTTGGTCTTCCCTTCGGGCCAGCAGCCATAGCAAGCCCATAAAGCTCATCACGCATCACCGAGAACTGGTCCATTGAAGAGTTCTCGGAAGGTTCTCCCATGTCAGCGTAGTTGGTGACTTGGTGCGTGTGCGTGTGTGTTCCAGGGAGACCTGCACACGCGGCGGCAAGGCCTCCATATTTATCACAGCGCAGGGGGGGGAAGCCGGCAAAGCTGAAAGGGGTTCACGCGCTCGCCGGAGACGACGAAAGATGGGCGGCGACCCGGGGAAGGTCATCAAGAACATGAAGGGCGCGGCGCAGAAGTACCTCGGCGTTGGCTTCCTGCTCGGCTTCTTCCTCGTGCTCCTCACCTACTTCACCGTGTCCGAGCAGTTCGCGATCACGGCGCCCAACGGTGAGTCAGGGTCTTTGCTTGGTCCTCGAATTGCTCTGGCATGGGTTTCGTATAATTCAGCAGAAAAGTTTAGCCCTTGCTGTTTCTGAATTCTTGTTGACCGATTCAGTCCATGAACTTTGCCACCTCGCAAGTGGTTCATTTGAATCCTGTTTTACTCATAATCATCGTTCATATCATAGCTCCTCTGAATTCTGATTCAAGAGAACCAAAACTGCATATATTTTTTTTCAAAAGAAATTCTTCAGTATTAGCATCTCTGCAACACATGTGATGCAAAAATACATAGAAGGCTCATTAAACCACCATTCAAATTTAAACAACTTATTATTTCCTGATCCCCAACTCTTCCTTCTGAAACTGATGGGAATTGAGCTGACGTCCGCAGCTGTTCGGAGGGCATCACCGGGGCACGCGCACCCTTCGTCGTCGCCGATCACCCCGGCCGTTGAAGAGAACAGGCAGCAGGCCCCTGTCATAGGTAAAATCAGCCTGTATCCCTAAACCTTCTCCTTGCTTCCTTCCTCTCACCGAGTAATCAAGCCACGTTAATTTAATGAATTCAGCAAAATATGACATTTTTAAATACCATGTCTGTTTTCTCTTGCCATGTGCAGAGGAGAAGCCACCCAAGGCAGTGCCTGCACCAGAAGAGAAGCCTCCAAAGGCAGAGCACGAGGCCCAAGAGAATCCCCCACGCGTTGAAGTTGAAGAGCCCCACGCTGAAACAGAGGAGGACCAGCAGAAGCCTGTCTCAGGTACTACTTGCAAATCCATACGGCCCCAAAACACCGTATTTCATTTTGAATTGACCAAACCTGTGAAAAACACTGTTTTGTTGATTGTTGAAAAAACCCGAACAAGCCGGCTGGAAAAAAAAAGCCTTTTTTGGTAGTTCAACGGACGGTCGCCGATTTGTTCTGTATCCTTTGCGATCAGTCTCAACCTCGTTGTTTTCTTTCTCATCATTAATCGTCATAAAGAAAAAGAAAGTACACGAGTTTGTTCTGTATCCCCTTGTTTTCTTTCTCATCATTAATCGTCATAAAGAAAAAGAAAGTACACGAGTTTGTTCTGTATCCTTTGCGATCAGTCTCAACCTCGTTGTTTTCACGGCTACTTTTTTAGAAACCGAAAGTGGCCGTGCAGAGCAGAGACGTGCTGGTTTCAGATTCTTTGGTGTCTGAAAGCATCGAATCCTTACCAAAAACCAGCTAACGATGCCCATTCATGCAGGTGATGATGATGGTAGGAGCAGTAGTAGTATCGTCGGCGGCGATGGCATCGCCACGGAGAGCGCTCCGGCGAAGAAGCCGGCGTGCGACATCCAGGGCCCGTGGGCGGCCGACGTGTGCGACATCGACGGCGACGTGCGGATCCACGGCTCCGCGGGCACCATCCTGATCGCGCCGTCCATCGAGAGCGGCGGCAGCAACCCGAACCCGCAGGAGTGGCGCATCCGCCCTTACTCCCGGAAGCACCAGGCCGGGATCAAGGAGGTGACGGTGCGCGAGCTGGCGTCGGCCGCCGACGCGCCGGCGTGCGACGTGCGCTCCCCCGTGCCGGCGCTGGTGCTGGCCATGGGCGGGCTGACGGGCAACTACTGGCACGACTTCAGCGACATCATGATCCCGCTCTACCTCCAGGCGGCGCGGTTCAAGGGCGAGGTGCAGCTCGTCGTGGAGAACATCCAGCCGTGGTACGTCGGCAAGTACCGTGCCATCCTGGGGCGGCTGTCGCGGCACGCCGTCGTGGACATGGACCGGGACGACCGCGTGCGGTGCTTCCCGGGCGCCGTGGTGGGGATCCGCATGCACAAGGAGTTCAGCATCGACCCGGAGCGGGAGCCACGGGGCCACTCCATGCCGAAGTTCACCGCGTTCCTCCGCGAGACCTTCTCCCTCCCGCGCGCCGCGCCGACGAGGCTGACGGGCGCCGACGGCGAGGAGGACGAGCGGGTGAAGCCCCGGATGATGATCATCTCGCGGCGGCACCCGCGGAAGCTGGTGAACGTTGACGACGTGGTGTCCCTGGCGCGCCGCGTCGGGTTCGAGGTCGTCATCGGGGACCCGCCCTTCAACGTCGACGTCGGGGAGTTCGCGAAGGAGGTGAACGCCGTGGACGTGCTGGTGGGCGTGCACGGCGCCGGGCTGACCAACTCGCTGTTCCTCCCCACGGGCGCCGTGTTCATCCAGATCAACCCGTACGGCAAGATGGAGCACATCGGGGAGGTGGACTTCGGCATCCCCGCCGTGGACATGGGGCTCAAGTACATCGCCTACTCCGCCGGCATGGAGGAGAGCACGCTGGTGGACACGCTGGGGCGCGACCACCCGGCCGTCAGGGACCCGGAGTCCATCCACCGGAGCGGGTGGGGGAAGGTGGCCGAGTACTACCTCGGGAAGCAGGACATCCGGCTGGACCTCCAGCGGTTCGAGCCCGTGCTCCGCAAGGCCATGCAGCTGCTCAGGGAGTAGGCAGCGGCGTCGCAGAGAGCAGGAAGATGCAAGTACAGTTTTTTTCCAAATGATTTTTTAGCCGCTAGCTCTTAATTTTTCTTCCCTACCTGTCCCTGACCTGCTTAATTTATTTCTCAATTCTTTTCCATTTTTTGGACTTCTTTTATAAGGGAAAAAGGGTAAATGATTTACCGTAAATCAAAGATTCACATGCTTACTCCATTTGATTTGATTGGGTCGTCGAACACTGCATTCTTGTGCGTGTGAAGTGTGATGTCTTTTTTTTGAGAGGAAGTGTGAACCTGTGTTTGAACAAGCAGAGACTGAATGTGTCCAAAAGAAAGGCTTTCTGAGAAAATAAGAGCCCAGTACAGACTACATAGAGGAATCAAGCCCAGGAACGAAGATGGGCCAAACGATTGGGCCGGTAGGTGAGGGGTGGCTGTCAGTCAGTCGCCAGCGTTGACCAAGCTGGTAGATAGATTAGGTTAGGCAGTTTATAGGTGATGGGCAATCAAGGGACAACGGCGACTCAATGCAAGCTAGGCTTTGTCAGTCAGTCGCCAGCGTAATTAGTTATTTTTTACCTATATTTGACCAAGCTGGTAAAAAGATATATTGAAAAAAGGAAATTTGAATGACATTAGGCTAGTTTATAGGATCATAAATTTTCAAGGGACAACGGCGACTCAATGCAAGCTAGTTAGCGGGGGTGATCGACAGGCAGATACGTGCAAGCAAGCAATGCAACCGCCGTGTACTGGCAGCCTAGCTAGCCCCTAGCGGGCACATGACAATCCACAGCGGCGCAAAATGGCATAGCAACAGCATTGTAGCGCTGCAATGGGGTGCATGTTGCCTAGCTAGCTTCTCCGGCAGACAATAATTGACGACGGAGTCCAGTCCAGGTGAAGCGCACATTCTACCTGTAAAAGTCGTATGCAATACACATGCTCTGTATGTACACAACCACACAAACTAAGGCCCTGTTTAGATCCCACCCAAAATCCAAAATTTTTCAAGACAACTAAATTTTCATAATCCGTAATTGGCGAGGCGAAATAAATTTATAATTGGATACCAAAATACACAAGCCCATTTTCCAAACTGGAAGGGACACAACAGCTATTTTCATAATTAGTATTTACTTACCTACACAAGCTAACTAACACAAGAGCTAAGCATTTAGCTACTCAAGCTAACTAGCACACACGAGCAACAACTACAACACTAGCATAAGTAATTAACAAGTAATGCAAGCTAGTGTAAGGGATTGCAAAACGAATGGGATACATAAGTTGACATGATGATTTTTATCCCGAGATTCGGTGGTTTGCTAACAAAATTTCCGTTGAGGCAAACCTCCAAAGTTGACACCGATCAATTTGCTAGTAGCAAGCCAACAAGATCGCACTCATCTCTCACGGTGTGCTCCAATGTGAGCTCTAGCACTTGATCCGGACAGACCACTTAGCGCTCTTCACACCTCGGCTTTACTAGAGTTGTTCTTCGCGATCTCACTTCAGAGCACTGCACAATCTCTATGCATCCTCTGACGGACTCCACAAGCCCCCAAGCCACCTTGGAGGTGCCAACCTCCAAGAGTAACAAGCCCTCAAGCTTGCTAACCAGACCCTATCTAGTGCCACTAGATGATATCTCTATCAAGTAAATGCACTAGATCACTCCAACTCACTGCAAATCACAATCTCAACTATGCATATGTGAGTGGAGGACTCTCTTGGTCACATATACATTTGGTTGGGTTCACAAAGACCTTTGTGGAATATCACTCTGATGCCCACGCACCTCTCATGAACTCTCTGGAGTTACACTCCACTGCACCACTCCAGTGCATACTGGAGAGCTCTAGTGTTCACAACATTCCGCAACGCATGGTAAAAAAACCTTCTCTAGAACTACTTGAAGGGGACCGCGACGCCTAAGAGGGGGGGGGGGTGAATTAGGCAACTTAAAATTCTAACTCTAAACTATGGCCTCTTTTTCAAACCTTAGCAAAACCTATGCAAAAGATAAACTATCTAAATGTGCAACTACGATTTTACTAGTGTGTTGCTATATCTACCGCAAAAGGAGCAAAGTAATCAATGTAAATGCGGAAGCTAAAGAGCAAGGTAGAGATATGCAAACTCCCACTCTGGTATTTTTACCAAGGTATCAAGAAGCGCGCAAGCTTCCCCCTAGTCCTTGTTGGAGCCCCTCGCAAGGAATCCCTCACAAGGGCCAAGCTCCTGGTCGGGTAACTCCGTGGATAGCCTCGGGCCTTCCCCACGCGCAAGTGGGTCTCCGACGTGCCTTCCGGCAAGCCTCTCCCGGATGCTCCCCGCCGTCTTCACTACCAAGCTTCCGATCGAAACGCCGCGGGCCTTGTTCCCTTCTGTACAAGATGGCGGCCACACCACAAACGTGGTTGGTGTGATCTTGCAAGACTACAAGCCCCTCCGATGTACAACAATGGTACGCGCAAGCACCGAGTGGTAAGAGGTATGCAAACCTCACTAAACACTAGGCCTAAACCTAGAGCAAGCGCATAAGCGGTGGTGTCGGTGTTTTGGATCGGGGGGGGGGGGTCCTCAACCGACTAGTGAAAGTGTACAGTGTGTTCCTAATCCCGGATGGTGATGCAAAGAGACACAAGGTTTATACTGGTTCAGGCAATAGGTGCCCTACGTCCCGTCTGAGGGAGCGATCTTGTATTCCTTGCACCGAGGTGCTTGTAGTTGACTCTTACAAGCTGGGCGAGAGAGGGAGCTAGCCCCAAGTCTCTGTGAATTGCAGTGTGTGTTGCTTGAGATGTTGATCTCTTGCAGTGAAGGAGTGTGCGTGTTACAGAGTGTTGTGCGTGGCTTGCCCTGGTTTCCTCCTACTAGAAGCGGCCCTGGTCACTCCCTTTTATAGTCGAGGGGAGGCACAGGGGCGGTACATATATTTGCTACGTGGCGTTCTTCGGCAGGGGCGGCATGTCTGAGCCCTGCAGCTTGTCACTGTGGCAGCGTGGTCGGTGGAGCGGTCTTGTCCTCCATACACTGGAGCGACGCGCCGGTCACGCCTGATCCTGTGCAACGTGGGAGCTCCTGTGGTGGTAGGCGTGCCTTCTTCTGTTAGAGGCGTGCTGGTCACTGTATGTTTGACCGGCGCGGAGTGCCGAGACTGGGTTGATGTGATGGCGCGGGTATGCTGATTTTGAGGCTACAGGAGCTAGGCCCTGTGCACGACATGGGAGCTCCTGCAGCCCGACGCAGGGCATGGCGCGTATTGCGGGCGGCGTGCCGGTCCTAGAGCGCTGACAACGTAGAGAGCTGAGGCCTAGTTCGATGCAGAGGCTGGACCGTCGTGGGGGGCTCGGCGGGCGTGAGTCCCGAGGCTACAGGAGCCCGAAGCGGGTAGCCGAGGCTCGGAGGGAGCAATTGGCCTTGCACGTTGTTTCCGAGGCTACAGGGATCCGGATGTGACTTTCTATGCCTAAGCAGGGGTTAGGTAGCACAGCGTGGCATGGGTGTCCGTCGTGGGCACAGTGCCGAGCACAGCGGCCGGTAACCCCCGCCCCGTCCTGTCTCAAATAGCATGGGGTCGATGTGACTCCCGTCTCGTCGGCCACTCCGCTGTACCGTGCCGCCGTGCGGCTGACGTTGCGGGAGTGGTTGAACGTGTTAGTTGGATGTGACGTCTCGTCAGAGAAGCCGGTCAAGGCGGTGGTGACGGGGTTGATGCCGAGGCGGCCTCGAGCGAGTCGGTAACTGGGTGCTCGTTCGAGGCCTCGTGGCGCGGGGCCTCGGGCGAGTCGGAGAATCGATACCTCATCCGAGGCCTTGCGGTGTGGGGCCTTGAGCGAGTCAGAGAATCGGTACCTCGTCCGAGGCCTTGCGGTGTGGGGCCTCGGTCGAGCCCGGATATTTGTTTGAGGTGGGCCGGGCGGTCTAGCTGGGCCTCGGATGTGGCGGGTTTGCCTGCGGTTGTATTTTGGTTTCATTATTTACAAGGTCTAAGCAATTTTTTCGGTTCTTGCTTTGGGTACCCCTTTTATGGTATCCAACAGTAGCCCCCGAGCCTCGGGGGGAGTGTGAGCACTCTCCCTGAGGTTTTGACGAGACTTGGCTCGCAGCAACTCCCGTCGGGATTGTGTTTTGTGATCGAGGCTCCGGTGGGTGCGCGCGAGCGCACCCGCCGGGTGTAGCCCCCGAGGCCCTAGAGGAGTGGATTTATTCCTCAGGGGCTTTTTCCCTGTTGAGTGGGGGGTTTGTTGCGTTTGCCGAGCCCCCGAATGCGAGTTCGGGTCGCTAGGCCTTGGCTTGGTCGCAGGAAGAGCCCCCAAGCCTCTACTCGGAGCAAGAGGACGGTCAGGAGTTTTCTGTCTTTTTTGCATGGCCCTCGCGCATCCTTTTCGCTCGAAAGGAGGGGTGGAGTATGCCAGGCTACCCTCGGCAGGCGAGCAGTGACACCTCTGGTGAGCTGTTAACGGGTAAGTCCAAGTGGAGGCCCGTACCCCATTCGATAGGGGTCAGCTAGCGGTCCAGAGACGCGCTCCAAAAGTACCAGAGGGCTTCTCTAGTGGGTCCCAGGGCCATTCGATTGGCCCTGGGGGCTCTGTGCCTCTCTATGGTGGGATCCCATTCAGAGACCTCCCTGCCGGTCTCGGACACGACTTAGGGCATCCCAAGCAACTGCTTGCTTGGGCCTCGGCCATGTACGGGCTTGCCCTTAGTCATCCCTAACTCTGTTTGTCCTGGGGCAGCTGTCGAGACCCTCGGGGGCCCAGCCTTCGAACCCCTAGACTGTAATGGGCTCGGTGCCTAGTTCCTTAGTCTAAAAGGAATCGGGTGGGGAATATTCCCTTCCCATCGGCTGACGACGGCGGGTGCGCCTTTTGAGGTGGTTTCTCGGGGAGATGGAACGGTGCCTACCGTCGCTGCGGATGGGACGTTACTGTATGTGCGCAGTTAGCGAGAAGAAGTAGGGCGCATGGGCGGTTTGGCTGGATCCTCATTAACTGCGCCAGA